TGAAAATGTACATTTAAAAGTAAAGGTCTGAACCTAAACATAACTGTCAGTGTAATCGTATGAAAGATTATACGAATAAGCCACATATTTAGCAAAATGTAAAGGTTGTGTATTGCCATGGGATTGTGTTGGTTAATTAACACTTTTTAAATACATTAATAATTTTGAAAGGAACACTCCACTATTTTTGAAAATAGGCTCATTTTCCAACTCCCCTAGAGTTAAACAGTTGAGTTTTACCGTTTTCGAATCCATTCAGCCGATCTCCGGGTCTTGCGGTAGCACTTTTAGCTGTAGCTTAGCATAGATCATTGAATCTGATTAGACCGTTAGCATCTCGCTCAAAAATGACCAAAGAGTTTATATATTTTTCCTATTTAAAACTTGACTCTTCTGTAGTTACATTGTGTACTAAGACCGACGGAAAATGAAAAGTTGCGATTTTCTAGGCCGATATGGCTAGGAACTATACTCTCATTCCGGCATAATAATCAAGGAACTTTGCTGCCGTACCATGGGTGCAGATGGCACAATATTACGCAGCGCCTGAAAATAGGCTAACTTCCATCAACATAACCAACGTGACCACCTGCTTGCACAGGGAGCATGCTGGGGACTATTTTCAGGTGCTGCGTAATATCATTGTGCCTGCTGCACCCATGATACGGCAGCAAAGTTCCTTGATTATTACGCCAGAATGAGAGTATAGTTCCTAGCCATATCGGCCTAGAAAATCGCAACTTTTCATTTTCCGTCGGTCTTAGTACACAATGTAACTACAGAAGAGTCAAGTTTTAAATAGGAAAAATATAGAAACTCTTTGGTCATTTTTGAGCGAGATGCTAACGGTCTAATCAGATTCAATGATCTATGCTAAGCTACAGCTAAAAGTGCTACCGCCAGACCCAGAAATCGGCTTAATGGATTCAAAAACGGTAAAACTCAACTGTTTAACTCTAGGGGAGTTGGAAAATTCCTTTAATGTTTTTTTTTTTTAATAATTTTTATTTACTTAATTTTTACTTTTTTATAATATATATATTTTTCATAATAATTTAAATAAGACCAGGAATGTAAATTAAGAAATCAAATGAAACTTCAGTGGTAATTAACTTTTTTTTTAATAAGGTCAAAAGTCAAATTTATTTGGAATACAATTGAAATCTTATGATCACAGTAAAAAAAAAATTATGACTTCTTGGTAAACATTCCCATTCTGTAAAAATTATCTTTCATACAAATTAGCCAACAGTTCGCCAAAACAAAAAAATAGTCTCACATTGGCATGAGTTTGTGTTGATTAATGAATGCTTTTGTAGTACATTAGATGTATAAGATCGAACACTTTATTTTTTTCATGTTTTAATTTTCTTTCATTTTGCTATTTATTTTTATAATGATGATCATATTTAATAATAATAATACTAATTTCCTTCATTTTATCTCTATCACACAGACACACTTTCTGTTTCACTCTGTTGTGTCTCTCTGTTTTATTGGATGTCTATTTCAGTACTGAGGAGGGATGTATGCCTGCTGTGTGTGAGCATATGTGTGTGACCTTAAACTGCAGGTCAGAAGGGACAGGCTATCAACGTAAGGTACACACGTGCCCATGCCTCAGTCATGCTATGCCCAGCCTGCACTTCACTTCATTCTGTCGTTTAGCCCACACCCATAAAGCTCTTGACAAGTTATTATCAGCCATTATAGCAATTAATGACCCTCTGGAGGCTTGTGGCTCTAATTGGCATTTGCCAGCAACTGTGGCTATCATGTGTTTTGGGATTGGGAATTGCAAACAGCAGATCTCAGATCAGTTTCTCTGCTGATATAATGTATAATATTATGATCTCATCTCAGAGCATTATTTCTATTCTTAGATGTACTACATGTTCAATGCCTACAGAATTTATGCATACTAAATTTCACTGCGTTTGATGCAGCTTTTTTTTTTCTTGCGTAGGTTTGTCGACAGTGACTTCAACAAATATTTTGACACTAAAGCCATACTTTGAAATGCATGAATGTCACTGCATTATATAAGAGTTAAACCAAGTAGTATTTATTTGAACTATAATTGTTTAACTAGTTGTAATCATACACATGACTGCATTTTTCCAGGTATTTTTTTCCTTAATGATCTCAAGAGATTTTCCTCTACTCAGGACTGATCAGAGTTTACTGATGACATCACCGCAGTAAAAGTGTCAGGTCAGTAATCTGAGGCATAGATCTGGAAATGATTGACTCAGGGTGTTTTTGGGGCTCTACTGTGCGCTCTTGACATTCAGTCTTGGGGTTTAATATGTAATAGAGCTCTTTCACATAATATTTCGCTCTGGACCAAATTATTAATTTTGAGGGCAAAGGAAAATGGCTTTAATTACTGGGTAATATGATATTTAACTTGCTTTTATGTGTGTCAACGTGTGTTGTTTAAGAGTTGTTTGCTAAGATGTGGTATGAACAGTCTTGATTCTAATGCTAATGACTTTCAAGGGTGTTTAACACCAACTTGAACACCAACACGTCTAGCAGGACACAATTCCTGTATTACAAGAACTTGTTGCATTCTCATAGCTAGCACATCTAATAGTGTGCAATAGCATAAACCATCTTCTATTGTCAATTTTCTTTTTCAGTTCAAATTTTGTCATGGTGAATCAACAGTTTGCTGAGAGAGTATATTATGTGTGTACATTAATGAGGAAAAAAAATTCAAATTAACAAATGATTTTAGCAAATGGCTGCAATATAACAAAGAGTGAAAAATTTAAGGGGGTCTGAATACTTTCCGTACCCACTGTAACTCAACATATTCATAGCATAGCCTGGGAGCATCTTTCCATTCACTTCTGCATTAATCTGCATATTTTTGTAGATTGCCTTACTGTTTTAATGTTTGCAGACTTACACAAGTCATTATACTTGGACTGAATGACTACAGTAAATATACGGGTAATATTCACAAACTCAGTTATTATCCAAACACAGATCCCAAGAGGCTTGCATTTCCGTTTTTTTTTTTTTTTTTTTTTTTGCAGTAATAAATGTAGTAAAAATATATTGCAGCTCTATAACATGTGGTTGAATCATTTTGCTTACCAGGAAATACCTTTGTAGCATGTCCAGTTTTGGACTCTTAAAGCAGCATTTAGGTTGATTTGACTTGTTTGAATTACCTCAAGACCACAGATATACATGCAAGCATGCACAGTAAATGCAGATGTGTGAGAATGCAACATGTACTATGAATTGTGTTTCAGGATGCAACAAAATGTGAAATCAAATTTGCATAGCTAGAAGCATTTGAGTTTGCCAACTTGGGCAGATTATGTTTTGGGCCTCTGTAGTATATAATCATTATTAACTTATGAAAGTATAATTCCTCTCTATCTGTTATGTAATGTGCTGCAGCAGGAAACGCATGGCAAGACATCTGAAGGGCTCCTTACTGGTTGTCTTTCCTTTCTGACATCACAGGTGTGTTACTGGGCAACTCTTACACATTCAAGCGGTTACCCATGCACTTCTACAAACAGCAGGTGACACAGTCTGAGATGATCTGAGATCAGCGTTCACTTTGAGAGCTTTATATAGCCAAGCTGTCGGTGTTCTGCTATCCAGGATTAGGCTTCGGTAATTCAGCAATTCCACAGAGACGTCTTTGTGACGTCATGGAGAATGCCCAGCTGCCCATTTAACCCTTTGACTTTATCATTTCTTTAGAGTCATCAATGCTAAGGCATCGCTATTGCTATTACTTTACTACACAGCTTGCCCCAGAATATCATAAAGACTTGGGTCTTTGGTCTGCAAGTATCTGCCTAGCTCCCACAATCACCACTCACACAAACCTCAGGTTTTAAAGGACACTAGGGTGGTGGTTAAGTGGTTAAGGGCTGGTAACCAGAAGGATGCTGGTTCAAACCCCATAAGTGAGCAATGAGCTCTCACTATAGGCATTAAACCCCAGGTTACTCCAATAATAATAAATCCATATGGCGTGCTATGAAGACCTCACATGAAAGTTGTGAACATCTATATCTAAAGACCTCATTAAGATGCTGTTCCGTGCTTACACTTAGGTGTTATGGAGCAGAAAAGACTTTATTACTAATTTACAGATTCAGAGTGAGACAGAGAGAGATGCTCCCTGGACATCACATGCCTCCATCAGCGCTCCACTGACACGTCTAAGATTTCTGGCACCAAAACAACGTCACGCTTCCTATTTCAGGCACAGGTGCAACATTTCAGCAGCGGGTCGAGTAACTGCGAGAGCAGGACTGAGAGATAGTAAGGCATGGTAATAGCAGGTTACATTAGGACTCTGAATGAGGAATAGGATGCTTCCTGATAGCTTTTAGTAACAGGGCAAGAGCAATGTTAATACTGTTAATACTGCTTAACAAGGAGCTAATTAAAGAGAGGCCTTTTTACTATGTTGGCATGAAACATCTACTTTTGCTTTTTTTTTGTTTTTGTGAAAGGAGAAGTGATGTAAGAAATTGTCAAATGTTTTACCCCACTCTTGTCACATTTTCAGGAAACTATACTAGATTTTTACATGTCTGAAGAACATTTGAGTGGTGCATGACCTTGGAGAAGTTGCTGATATGGTAGTAGGATATTATACGTGGTCGCTAAGTTGTTGCTATGTGGTTAATAAGGTTGTTAACACATAGGTTAACACATTTGGTTGCTTACTGTTCCAAGTCAAAAGAACCCACTCCCAAGTCTTTATGACTATCTAGTCCCTAGATGACTCTGGTTGCTCCATAAGCCTATAGGTTTGTTGTCTGATTTGTAGTCCATCAGGTGAAAATGAGCTTGTCAGATTGCAAAGAAAAATAATAGCACAGTGAGCAGAAAAGGAATATTAGTGCTAACATTAGCAATCACCACAAAATAAAAATAAAGCATATGAAGTCTAGAGTTCAAGAGTTTCACTAACTTGTCAAAGCACTTGCATTTATTATCTAGAGAAAAAAAAAAAGCATCACATTTTTGTAAGGGTCACATATCACAATAATAAATAAACATTCCAAAAGCATTTCTTCATTATATTATTGTCAAAAGATATAATGTACTTTTCACAGATGTTGAACTTAAAGAATAATTCACTTCATTTGGCTTATTTTTTTTTTTTACAAGGCTGGAGAATGCAGACATGTTACCATACACCGAGTAGTTACAGCCCACGTCAGGTGCAGTCAAATAAGGCTTTATAAGAAAAAAAAACATTATGAGCCCGTTATCATGTCAATATTATGAAGCACTAATCCAATACTGAAATGGACTTTATGACAGAACATCAAAACGTTTGCACACGCCTTTACAGTTTATGCATAATAGATAAGGCTCAATAACTCGTTGCCATGTATGTTTAAATACGTTATGCCTGTTGCAAACATGCATATATGGTTACAAAAAATGTCCTACATGGCACCGCAAGAACTGCACTGTACACAAAGCACTCTGGAAAATAGATAACAGAATAAAAGAATAGAAAATTTAATGAGAATGACAGAAAGAAATGAAGAGAAAAGGCAATGAAGGGTTCATAGGCACAGAAGTTCACCAGGTTAGAGAATGTCCACTGGAGTTTCTTTCCAAAGCACTTCAAACAGCGCAGAGTTAAATGAAAGCAGTAACCTTTTGAAGTTATTTAAGGAAAATACCACAGGGCATTCTAGTGGGCTGCAATAAGGTACTTTCCTGTGGTGGTGTTGGTTATATATACAAAAAAGTAGATCGTGTTCTACAAAAGGTCAAAGTTTAGTTTATGCCATTGGGTGAAAGTGTCCTTTAAAGCTCGTTGTATCCTGGTCACATGATGACAGTTTCTGTGTGTCGGGAATATGAATTCAATAATTGTTTGGCATTCAGGCCAGGGCTTGTTGGGCCGGATGTGTGGGCGATTTTGCTTGGGTGAGTATGCTTAACCCATCTGGATGGACGGCGTTGATTGGCTGGTCGAGCAGGACGAGAAAAATGGCTACTGCTAGGTGCAGGAGATGACTCCCGGTTGACCTGGAGAGGAAAATGTTTTAATGTAAGTGTCTTTCTGGAAAAATGATCAATACTTGGGTGAATCTACTTGTATTTTATGTACCAAGATGTTAAATGACTTTATTTGACAAATAAGCAGAAACAGAAAGCAAAGTAGCGGAATGGAAAGATTGGAGAATGGGATCAGGATCACCACAGCTCCTTTGCATCAAAAGCAACATTCCTCATTCTTTGTCCTGGAGAACCACTTTCCTGTAGAATTTATATACAATTTTAATTAAATGTGCTTGAATTAACTAATCAAGGTCTTTGTGTTTACCTGAAAACCAAATGTTTTAGAGCACACTTGGAAATATACTCTTCATGAAAGTGGCTCTCCAGAATCAGGAATGAGGAACACTGGACGAGAGCATGTGCACCATGACTCAGAAAATATAAATACTGCATTGAAATTTAGTGTGTGTGCTGATCATATCTGTACCCTCTTCACCTGCTTGTTGTCCAGTTGCTGGGTGAATGTGGCCCTCTGACTTCTGTTGTTCTCTATTTCCATCATTTCCAGAAGTTGCTCCAAGTTGTCATTTCCCCGTCTCATCATTTTGACACCAAGTCCTCTGTGTACCTTATTGAAGTTTTGAGATCCTACTCCCAGAATCCTTTCTACCATCTGGCAGTCAGAGAATAGGTCCTCCCTCTGGAAGCCCGCTTTGTGGGCTTTAGACATTGAAGCCACCTTGTGATACCCCGAATTAAGGTGAGGCTGTGACTGGCTTAAGTTACAGGCCAAGCCACGCTGTTCAAGAACACAACCACCCCTCCCACTGCCTCTGTCTCCATTGAGGAGGTGTCTAGAAGGACCAGCTGCCCAAAACTCCAGATCTGCTACCAGTACATCACAGTCTGCACGGCATTTCTGGACGTGCGTGCGTGAGGATGCCCGCCTGTCATCAAACTTGCTCTGGCAAATGGGAGTGCTGGTTTGCCTCGGAGGTTCAGCAGAGACAACGGTGGTCACGAGACCATCCTCTATCAGGGTTTTTCCCTCATTCTCCTGCAACATGGCACCAAACTTACGCAACACTGATGGGCTGCCAGATTTCCTGTCAAGAAAGAGGCATTTCCTGTCAGGTTGCTGTGATGACTCATGGTAAGTGGAACGAGGGGTTACAGGAGAAGAATCTCTCTGTCTGATTGCCAGTTTGGAAGCTGAATTTTTAGGGGGAAGGTCATTTGATGAAACCGGGTCTTTCCAGCTAACGTGGCGGGCTTGGGAGTCATCCCAACTTGATTTCTTGTTCTTTTTGTTCTCAGCCTCCTCAATCTCATCCAGAACCACACACGAGGCAGTCCTAAGGTGAAAAGACAAATCAACCAAGTAGTCACAAGAGGGAACTGGGCAAACACTAAGCGTTGGTCTATAACCAACAAGAAACATGCACGATAATAGGACAACAATAGGAATGTATCTGATAGGTTGAGATCAGAAAGGCTTTACCTGTTTGTCGCCAGGCTGGTCTTCATGCTATCTTGATAACTGTGTGTAACTGGATATACCTTGGGGTTCTGAATCAAAAAAGAGGGAGATATGAAGGGATAAGGTGAAAACGTATAAAGACAAATCCTTGAGGTATAAGAGTCCAGTTTGAGGAGATATTTATCAATAGTGAAAGAGGTACTCACTCTATTTGGAGCTCCAAGATTCCCTGGGTTCCTTCTAAAATGTGGACCCTGTTGGAGGTATCCATTGAGTATGTCTACGGTGGCATCTTGCCTTTCAAAAGCATGACAACTGGCAGGGTAATGGCTGTCGTTGCTCAGGGAATTAAGCATGCAATTGTTGGAGCCATTACAGTATTCACTGGGGTGGTGAAACCCAAGGCTTTGCATAACTGAAGGATCTGCTTTTATTTCACTGCATTGACAAATTGGGAGGCTGTTGTTGGGGTGACCATGAGGTTCGTGATAACCATTGGCCTGGTGGCTATACTGAGAGTTGACAGGAAGCAAAGTAATGTCCAGGTTTTTATTGTTTGTGATGTTGTTTGTGCTGCTCTCGCTGGCTTCTCTTCGTGCTTTGACCTCATTATACAACTGAAATACAATCACAATGTTAGAGACAAACTCAGCATTCATAAAGTATGATTTTTTTTTGCCCACCTACATGAAAGCAAATGTTTTAAATCCACAAGTCAGCAAATACAACTGGCATAATGTACTGCATAGACTAGTTATGCAACATTTGCATAAGTAAACAGCATGGGTTTCTTCCATTTAGAATGGGTCAGTGAGAGGGAGGGCTTGCATGCTCAAAGGCTAATTAATCTATCAATAACAACATGCTTGCTTGGCCTGATTCAGCAGCAATGCATTAACTTCCTGTGTTTTTGCGTGAGAGAGACTGTTTGTGAATGTTTGTAAGTAGCCTGTAACCCCTATCCTTTTGGGTTTAATAAGCTTGTTAACATCTGTCACAGTCATGGTGTTGTGGGGCGAAGCACCTATTATTATATCCAAGAGATGCAGCCAACTTAGGCAACAGGGGGTCAAGATCCTTTCAGCCAATCACAATTCTAGTTCGTGCCCACTATCACAACTCCACGTAGTATTGCAGTGCCAATGGAACTTTTGGCATGGTTTATCAGAGCATTATATTTTTGAAGTTTGTTTACATTTTCAAATAAGGATCTCTCTCTCTCTCTCTCTCTAGATATGGAGATGATTGGATGGATATGGATTCTGTCACAATGACTGGCGTCACCTCTGTTGAAAATTTGTCTCACCTCTTCAATCTTCCTCTGCATGTCCTGTAGCTGATCTTCCCATTCCTGCATCTCGGAGTCAAAACTGTCAAGCAGGTCAGCTCTGTTTCCACCCCACACACAACTCCCAGGCTCCGGCCCACAGTGCAATTCCAATGCAGCCATTCTTCTGTGTATGTGTGCCTGTGCTCAGAATCTTACGCTGCAATTCCTGAAAGGTCACTGGAGTGACCACATTGGCAAGTCCACCAATACCTCTATGAAGACAAAAGAGAAATTCATCAGTGAGAAATAGCCTATTCATTATTTAGAGTACTCTTAAGTAATCAGAGTATCTGGTAGTAGTTGGTTTCTCAAAGTAAATTAAGTGACTGTAAAAAAAAAATTCTACTGTCTACCGTGGCTTGCTTTACAGTTTAAGGGTCTTACGAATGTGAAGTTTTCGTGTTTGTATTGCATTCAAGGAGACGAATGGAAGAAAACAAAATCCCAGCTATTTGCTCTGGACACCTGCTTTAAAGCTTTGGCCCATTTCTATATGCATTCCCTGTCCTTCAAACCAGCCCTTAACTGTCAAAATTGTCAGCACGTCCTTTAGACACCAACTTCATTAGACATGCTCAAGTTACCTAAAGGGACTTCAGGGATTCTAAAGTCAGTTTAATAACATGGACAGTCTCCTTGGAGTAAACCGATCTCTCTTGATCAAAGGAACAATAGTAAAAGGTAATTGGTCACCCCTTGCAAAACCTACACCTACAGCCAGCCTAGATCTTTAACTACAAGGTTACACTGCTTCTTTTGGGTTAGGGATGAGGTCAAAGTTCTAAGCAAGTGCAGAACCTTTTACCCACTTGGATGAGTTCAGAATAGTTGCATCCTTTCCATGGTAACGTCACTAAGTTTTTCTGTAACGCAGATTGGATTTACGGCAGGTATTAGGGATGGAATTTTCTTCTGTCAAGGAACATGACACCCAATTTAACTCATGAAATTTCCAGAATATGCCACCATATGTTAGAATGGAAGGCTATTTATACTCTCTGTAATTATGTTGTTATAAAACTAAAAATGAAATTCACCTTTTAATGAAAATAGATACACACTTACTCTCTATATGTAAAAGTAGCTGATCACAATAGTAGTAAATCTAAGTGAATTTACAGTTCCATAAATTATTTACATATTAAGTACATATTGTTAGTTAGTATTCCTTGAGCAAGTATATGTACTTACATATGTCAATACAGTAATTTACTTCTACATTACTTTACTTTTAGTGTAAAGCGTGACCAATGAGGCTACAAGGTTCTTAATATTATATATCCAACATTTTCAGCCCAAGTGAAAGATTACAAAAAAGAGTTGTAAGTAGTAACAATTTAATACTTTAAAAGGTTTAAAAATGGTGTACTTGTATAATACGCATTCTTAATCCTTACCGGTTAAATCTTATTATTTGTTCCTCCAGTAACTCCCTCTCATGAGTTTTTGATGAATTGAAACAGGTGCTCCAGAATATGAGTAGAATATGAGTAACCTGTTCAAGTACAGGTTTGTTGCTTAAATCAAGATCTTGCTTGTTTCAGTACCGCCTTGCCTTTGACAGCTCCTGTACCCAAATGGGATGTAACTGTGCAAAGACCGTGAAGGCTTGCTTCCAACGGCGTGACGTAAAAATCCTGCGTATTGGATCTTAAATGTTTCCTCTGTCCGGCCCTACGATCCTGTCCGGAGCTCAGGGGTAAACAACTGTAGTCCTGAGGGGGCCCCGGGGCTTTATAGTAACTCTAAGTATTTACCCCTGCGATGTCAGACCTGCCAGGTGTCTGGTGTCATAATGTCAGATTTATTCCGGCATTCGTGGTCTCCATGCAAGAGACTGTCGTCACCGACATTCTAGGTTAAAATTACAAAGGCAGAGGGAGAGTGTTTACATGGCTATTTTAAAATGCCCAGTTCTACCCCACCTCTGTGAAACTGTCTTGTTGCTAGTCTGGTTTTAGGACTTGGCAGATAGCGGTCTTGTGACTCCTATTCCAGTTGTTTCGACTTCTACTAATGCCCACAGGCAACTGGGCTATTTGTGACTCTCAAAACACTCTGTCCATTTTATTCTAAAGATACCACTGGACAGAATTAGAGGATACTAAGTGTGCTGTCCACGGTTCTTAATGGGCACCTCACACTTTTATTTATTTGACACATGTGGCTGTTGCACAATAAACAGGCGGCCAACAGTTCCACCCTAATATTGGCCGCTGACTCAAATAGTTTCCGGGCACAATAACGGAGAACAAGGAAAACAACAAAGCAAAAGCCTCTTGAGAATGGAGACACAGTAGAACTGGCAAATTTTAATACAGAGTTGTATGTTTGATGTTTTTTCGCTAATGAGTTTATTTTCAGCTGGCAGGAAATTGAGAAGAAATGACTTGCAATTCCCACAAAGAGACTCACTCTAGAAAAACAGATGAGGTGTTGTTTTCTTGTCAATCGCCTAGACCCATCTAAACCAAAACAAATGAGTTTGTTCTCCAAATAAATTGTGAACCCAACCCTTCAACAGATCTTGTTTTTGCAATTATTTTAATCTATTTACAGCTTTAATTATTTTACTAAGAAACTACTGCCGACAACTTGAAGACTCAGGTGCTTCAACTGGCACTAAAACTGGAGATGCCAACAAGCTAAATAAACTCATAAAGAAAGCAAGCTCTGATTTCCAAATTGCTTATCCATGACATGCTTGCAGGAATGAGGAGCACGTTCAGCACTAGACTGATCCTGCTCTGGTGCAACGGAGAGCGCAGCAGAAGGTAATTTGTGCATACTGTCACCATGTACACAGGCACTTTATGTGAACTTGGACCCCCGTACACCCACCTCATCAAAGCCACAGCTGTTCTTTAGCAAACCACATGAATCTTTTTGTGCAATTTCTTCAGATTATTGTGCAATCAATCAATCTATGCAAAACAGTTGTTCTTGTCACAGAAATTACACATGCAATCGGATGATTCCTGACATCACCAGTCAAATATAAAGCCTGTTACTTATTCTCCATCCACATGTATGCATATTCTTTCTGACCTCTCGGAGTATACAGTTATATACCATGTTCTTACTCACCTTTCCATGTTTCTGACAGGTAATCATTCCAGCCGATGTACAGTATCTTTAGAGTGCAGTGGCAGGCACTCTGGGTAATGTGGTAATGTGCCCCTTAGTAGTAAACTGCAGTTGCATATTTCATTGCAAGCCTTTGGTGGCAAAGCAAGCGTCAGTGTGCCTGATAGCCATAGTCCTCAACTCAAGAAATGTCTTCTGGGTAATGTAGTTTCCAGTGGCTCAGTGTTTTCTTATGTTGTGTAATAGTTTTTAGTTGCAAAAAAAAAAAAGAAACCTCTTGTCTTGATGATGTACCTTCCAATGGCAGCCATACATATGCGACTTGGATAAAACAGTCTCCAGCTTTTTGGAAATTAAGGTTTTGCAGAATTCTGTGCTTAAACGTGCTGTCTGTGCTTGGAAAGTGACCGTCCTGTGATTCTTCAACCATGGTGACATACACAACATTGACAAACAAACAAAACAAAGGGGCGAGACTATGCTAATGAGTGGACGGATGGCGGTCACAGGACAAAAAAGAGGGTGAAAAGAAATACAAGTTTAAAAATGGTGGCATAAGAGAGTGAGGAGAACAACACTAGAATGAGGATGAATAAAATGATGGGCTGAAACATCTGGGTGAATAACCGGCAGGATTAACGAACATGCATTAAAAAACGGGTGCGTGGGAAGACAGGATAAGAGAGAAAGAGAGAAAGGTTAAGATATTATAGCCATTAACATTTTCTGTTTGCGTAGTTTACAAACTATGCAAATCTTGGCAAATAAAAAAAATATGCTGCATTTTGCTAAATGTTAAAAGCAGTCAGGAGATGAACTCTCTGAAATATGTAGTGCTTTCTTGTTCTTCACTATCAAACTCACTCCCTTTAAAGGAATAGTTCACCTCATAATGAAAATTGTCATAATTTCCTTTGATTCTCTTTCCTTATGTGGAATTTAAAGGGGTCATGAACTGAGAAATCAAAATTCACTTGATCTTTTAACATGTAAGAGGTCATTGTACTATAAAAACATCCTGTAAGTTTCAGAACTCAAAACTTTCTCATTATTCTAAAACAGCTTATATTGAAGCCAATCTGCCAAAATGACAGTTTGTGGAATGTGACACTTTATGACGTAATAGTGTGTCTAAACACCGCCTCCGCAGAAGAAAATAAACGCCTACTTCTACATCACTGCCTGTTTAGCTCCGCCCACCGATTCGCGCACATAGTGTAAATAACTAGAGAGGCAAACGCAGATCTACGCAGAAACCAAATGATAAAGATGCTCCGAACACAACAAAACGCTGTTCAGTGCCAAGTTGTGGAAAAACACAGTCTTTGCATCGCCTTCCTTCTGATCCCAACATTAGCAAAGAGTGATCAGTGGATTAATTTTATTTTTAATGAAGTTCCAGACTGCATCTGTAAGAACTTGGTCGTTTGTTCACTTCATTTTACCACGGATTCATTTACAAACAAGGCGCAATTCGACACAGGATTTTCAGAAAGATTGAAACTAAAAGACGATGCTGTGCGACTATATTGGATCCGACAGTAATGTCGCACCACACAAGTGTGAGTAACTGTTTGTATTATGTGGTCACTATTGCTTTGTCTGTTATTACAGATAATTTTATATGTACTGAGTATTTATGCGTTTTTAATCTAAATCACAGCAGCGTCCATCTATGAAGGATGTAGCTGTCAAACATACACAACTGTTAGCCAATCATAGCAGTGGGCGTTTACTTCCGAGTCTACAATCCGCCACACCTATTCAAACAAAGCGTTCCGATGAGGTGGTCAAAACAGGACAGAAAATAGCCTACTATTTCTAAATTATGATGTTTTTTCTAGGTAAAAATCTTGAGAATAATACAAGTTTACCTCAGAGAACAGTACAAAATAATAAAAAAGGCAGTTCATGACCCCTTTAAATAAAAGTATGACTTTGCATTATTTGGCTTCTGTAACAACACGATAGCTTTGTTAGATGAACAACCAAAATATAATTGATTATTCACTGAAATTTATCCATTCTGCTGCAGCATTGTTATAGAATTTTTTATATACTGTTATAGTGTTTATTAAAAATTTTAAATTCGCTTTTATTTTTCAGTTTTCATTTTAATTTTAGTAATTTTATGTGCTTTTGTCATGTTTATTAGTTTATTTTTTATATTAGTTTTAATTTAATTTAGTTTTATTTGTAGTGATTTTGCTATTTAAACAGCTAAGGCAACCTTTCTCATTTTTGTTTTTATTTAAATTAAAGCAAACAATTTTTAATAGTTTTAGGTTTTGTTAACAATATCAACACTGCTCTGCTGTAAGTCACATCTAATTTGTGTTTGCATTCATTCAATTAATGTTTTACATCTGTAAAATCAAATATCCTATGTTCTGGCATGTCTTGTGACCAGTTGTCATTGATGTCAAACTCGACATGATGAACCTTGATGCAAATGAACCTTAATTTTTTTATCTGTTTCTCACTCAAAAGTATTGTATGGATTTAGAAGACTTAGAATAGAGTCCATTGTACGGACTACTTATATGATGCCCTTTTTTGAGTTTGATTGCCTCTGGGGCCGGTTGCATAAACATAGCCACTATGTTAAGACTGTGTCTTAAGAACTAGTTTAACCAACTAGCAGTTAACCAAGAGATAATCACTTGTCTGATTAATATTGGGCCAATTTACCTTTTTGTAACTGACTTTAAACAGTTATGACCAGTCTAGAAGAAAACAAATTAGATGGCTAACTTTTTAAGACTAGTCTAAGCAGTTTATGCAACCGGGCCCTGGTCACTGTTCCACGGAAGAAAGAGAATCAAGGGTGAGTAAATAACAGAACTTTGAATTTTGGGTGAACAATTCCTTTATGGTGTGTCAAACATTCTTGTTGTGCTTCACATAGACACACAGACTCTTGCCAGACTCACAGATAATGGTTCTTCTGAATCTCTTTCCTCAGGTTTTGGGACTTCAAGTCGGTCTATAAACCCCTGCAGCTCCTTCCTGAAAGCTTTCATTTGAGCGTTGATGCGGTAGAGTAGCTCGTGCTCCCTGATCCGCCCACCATCGTCATCATCTTCCATACGGCCGAAAAGATCCCCATTAGCTACGAAAACCCTTGCCTCTGCAATGATGGTACTGGTGTCGGCTATGAGCCGGTCAATGGTTCGCCCCAAATGCTCCGCTTCCGCTCGGATGTCAATCATCTGTTGCCTGTCCCGTATGGAGCGTGAGAGGAGCCGAGCGGATTCAGGAGAATAAAGAGAACGAGTTGGTGTGAGGCACCGAGCATTGCGAACTTCCTCCGAGTCACTTTCTCCTCCGACAGGACCCTCACGTTTGCGATGGGGAGGGAGGCGAGAGGAAGACGAGTCATCATCGCTACCTCTACGCCCTCCGATTCCAGGACCAGTGTCACTCTCTGCGTCGCTATCCCGTGGTGTGATGGCTAGGTGAGATGCTAGATCATACCTTTGCATGTTGGAAAGCAGCACACGGTTCTCATACTGCAGCTGCATCACTTTCCCACTCAGTTCATTGATCTGCTTCCTTGCTGCCTTCAGCTCCTCCTGCAATGCCTCGGCTTTGGAGCTGTCTCCTGCTCCACTGGTGGCACCCGTTGCATTGCCACCCAAGGTGTGCCTTGTACCCTCTTTAAAGCGCAGTTTGTTCAGCTCACATGTCACTCTCTTATTCTGTTCCTCTACATCGGCCAGGTTCCTTCTTAGAAGTTCCGCCTCGTCCTCCACCAACTGCAGTTGTTGCCTTAGCTCGGACAGCTCCGACCC